CTTCTACCAGGATGCATTAACCAACCAGAAAGAGCATGGATCTAAAACACAAGTGGTTACACCCACAGCACCAAGAACCTTAGCTACTTTCTCAAGACTAACAGCTTCAAACACCTCCCAGATAAGATCACAAGATAATGCCTTAGACAATTTCATCAGACAAACCCAACTCAGAATGAGGGATTAGGTCAATCTGAACTGGGCCACTAGCCAACATCTGGAAGATACAATAAGAACACAGAAATAAGCACACTTCATCACTCTTATCATCACAAGGCAGGTCCTAATATGGGCATTTATCTGTTCTTCTTGAACCTATATTACCTTTGATATGAGCACAAGCCACTTTATAATGAAAACAGCACATTATAGCTGGTCTTACTGATATTTCCTAACACCACTGCTTTCAAAGGATTGTCAACATTAATAGAGATTTCTGTATCAGTACAATCTGAAGAATGTTTGTCACACATTCCCAGTAACATTTCAGCACAATAAAAATCAAACTGAGTATCTGACATAAACAATCATAAAACCAAAACAAAACTTTACTTACGTTTCAAAGCACCGATCCACATTGTCTGACATCAGCAGCAGCATACATAACTGCTCCAGTGCTATTAGCTGCATGTCTCTTTCATCACCCTGACCCATCTGCAGCCATTCAAGCAATGTATCTGGGTCCACATCTGCCATGATTTTAAAGTAGTCTGTTCTTAAATTAAAAAGAAACCAAAATTCTTTTTTAAATCCAGTCAAATAGCTCTGGCCTAATTAATCTTCTACTCTGAAGAAATCCAATGGCTTTGCAATCTTCACCTAAAAAAAAAAAAAGATTTGTAGTTATTTTCTCTGTTAGTGCTCCTTAATTTTATCACAATAAGTATGTGTGATACTAGTATGATATATTCTGCATTCCAATAAACTAACTTTACAATGCTTCAGAAAGGAAAAGATGCACTTGAAATATTATAAATGAACAGTATTTGAGCAGCAAAAGCTCTGCTAACATTTATATATTTTTAGAAATATTCATTAGGAATGTAAGAAGCTGAGAGTCTGGTACTATATTTTGGTCTAGCTATTATGCTAATGGTACCTACAAATTTCAAAGTGGGAGCCAGATAGCTGAAAAAGTGTTACTGTTATAATACAAAATTCTAAAATTGTGACAGAAGGGCAGCATCAAATTTAGCTATTTCAGATATCTAGAACAATACCAGCAATATATATTGAAATATTACAATAGTGTATTAAATCTTTGGTATTTATGCCGTTATTATTCTATTATAGGTTATTGATGGAGGAAAAAAAATAGTAAATAGCATTTCAAGGGTTAAAAAACATCATCTTAAAATATATTGGAGTTTGCTTAACAGCAGAAGTGACTTGTGAACCTACAAATAAAATACACTATAATTTTTCCCAATCAGGTGTTCTATTGTTTTGATATATATTTTTATTTTTATTTATATTAATTTATATTAATTTCATGATATAATTTTAAATTTTTTTCTATATTACCTTGAGGTCTTTTTGAAATTATATAGTTTAAAAATGAAAAAATAAGATAATGCACACTTCAATTTTAATTCCAATTTTCTTTAGATTAGTTTTATATCATGAAATCTAATACATTCTGTGCTTTGAGGGAAGGGAGTTGGTTCTTTTCATGCTGTTACTAAGTTGCCTTTCAACATCACTAACAGAACCCAAATACACACCAAGTCTTTTGCCCAATAACAGGTTGCTTTATGCCACGAACTGCAGTGTTTCTTTGCCACAGTTGTAGTGTCTGTAACACTTTATAAAGTTAACTTCTTGGTTATTTTTTGTAATCAGAATTCAGTTTCTAGAATAAAAGCTGTGATGTAATCTTTCTAAGTTTTATTTCAATAAATGCTTTAAGGTTCAGTCTGTGTTATCTTAATTAGGATCATGTTAAAAAATATATAATTAAATATCAGTGGGACTTAAACATGTTGTAGCAGTAAAGTCGGGAAGTTGACTGAATTCAAGAGGGCTTATTTCTAAATATATATATAGGATTGTACAGCATGTGGTGAATAAAGCTATTTTGGCTTCTAAGAGTATAAATATCTAGATATAAACAAGTGACGCTTAGAAAAAGTTTCAATTATATTTGTACAGTTAGTCCTTGATTTACAACAGTTCATTAAGTGACTGTTCAAAGTTACAACGGCACTGAAAAAAGTGACTTATGACCGTTTTTCACAGTTATGACCTTTGCAGCATCCCCAGCAGCAAAATTCAGATGCTTGGCAACTGGTTCATAATTATGTCTGTGACTGAGTCCCAAGGTCATGTGATCACTTGTGACCTTCTGACAAGAAAAGTCAATTGGGAAGCCAAATTCACTTAACAACCAAGTTACTAACTTATCAACTGCAGTAATTCACTAACAACTAAGGCAAAAAAGTGGTAAAATGGGGCAAAACTCACTTAACAAATGTTTCATTTAACAGAAATTTTGGGCTCAATTGTGACTGTAAGTCGAAGACTACCTGTATACTTATTGTTTGTATGAAGTATGACTAATAAAACTAAATCTAACACATACATTAATAGGAAAAATTGATACTAATAGTACACAATTTCTATTGAGGAAAGTACAGGTAGTCCTCAACTTACAACAGTTCATTTAGTGACCATTCAAAAGTTACAACAGCACTGAAAAGTGACTTGTGACCATTTTTCACACTTATGACAGTAGCAGCATCCCTGTGGTCATGTGATTTACATCTGTATGCTTAACAGATGGTTTATATTTATGACAGTTGCAGTGTCCCAGGGTCATGTGATCTTTTGCAACCTTCTGACAAGCAAAGTAAAATGAAGATGTCAGATTCACTTACCAATCATGTTACCAATTTAACAAGTGCAGCGATTCACTTAACAAACATGGTAAGAAAAGTCATAAAAGGGGGCAAAACTCACTTAACAAATTTCCCACTTAACATACATTTTGGGCTCAATCGTGGTCATAAATTGAGGACTATCTGTATATACTTTTTGAGATGACCGACTTCCCAATACACCTGCATCTCAATGCGAAAATCGAGAAATAAACTTCACAAACTCTCCCCAACAAAGTAAACATGGAAGAATGGGCAACGATAGTATGGTAAGCCATATGCTTTACATACAGATAGTCCTCGACTTAACAACAGTTTGTTTAGTGACCAAAGTTACATCATCACTGAAAAAGTGACTTATGATCATTTTTCACACTTACAACCTTCACAGCATCCCCATGGGCACATGATCAAAATCCAGATGCTTGGCAACGGGCCTGGTGGCTCAGCAGACTAAAGGCATTGTGATTAACACCAGCTGTCTGCAATTACTGTATGTTCGAATCTCACCAGACTCAAGGTTGACTCAGCCTTCCATCCTTTCTAAGGTAGGTAAAATGAGGACCCAGTTTGTGGGGGCAATAAGCTGCCTTTGTATAAATATACAAAAGTATGAAGGCTATTGCTTAATGCATTGTAAATCGCCCTGAGTCTCTGGAGAAGGGTGGTATATAAATCAAATTTTTTTAAAAAACTGACTCCTATATATGACGGTTGCAGTGTCCCAGGATCATGTGATCACCTTTAGCAACCTTCTGACAAGCAAAGTAAAACAGGGAAGCCAGATTCACTTACCAACTCAGGGGTTACCAATTTAACAAGTGCAGGGATTCACTTCACAAACGTGGCAAGCAAGAAAAGGCGTAAAATGGGGGCACACAACTCACGTAAGCAACAGAAATGTTAGGCTCCATTGTGGGTCGTTAAGTCGAAGCTGTTAGGTTCGACCTCTAGCTTAATAAGGAAAAAAAGAAAAAAGGAAAAGAAAACCCAAGTCTGGAAATAACCCCCAAATTTCCCAAAGACACCATTGCCGGAGGATAACTACATGCACTGACTGATGACTTCACACACCCAGGAGGAAGTTTTTCATACGTTCACAGAACCCATTTATACAAACCTTCTTACATCAAGAGTGTGGCGGTCCAACAAATACATAGGCTAACCTATAGATATTTGTTTGCCCCCCCCCCCCTGCCCCCCCCGCCCATATATAAAAGAAGACGAGCCGGAAGCAGCGTCCGGGACCCCTCTCCAGGTCTTAAGGGGAAACTGTTTCTCACTCCTTAAAGTCCCAAAGCAGAGGGCCGAGAAGCCCCTGTGACTCTTCCCCACCGACCCGAGAAAGCCCGGACAAGAGCAGGCCCAGCAACCCCCTTTCTTTAGGGACAGGACCTCCTCGTTCTGGGCCCAGCAAGTCAACTCGGTCCCTTCCCTTCCCTTCCGTAAAGCCCAAGCTCAGTTTTTTTTCCGGGCCTACCAACCACCGCCTATAGCTGAGGCTCTGCGGAATCTCTACTACAACCATCTCCCTCATCGAGCCACGCCGTCCCACAAAAACTCTTCCCCCCCCCCGGAGCTCCCTTACACCGTCACGCCGCGGCACTCGCGTTCTCCGCCAGCCGCAAGGCCTCGCAGGGCATCGCGGCCAGGTGGTTCAGGAAACACCGCCGTCAGGCCGGCAGCGCGGGGCTCCTCTCTTCCGCCGACCCAGAGACTCGCTCACCTCGGCGCCCGGGTTTCCCCCGCGGCCGTCGTCGTCGCCGTCGTCGTCTCCTCCTCAGTTTTCGGAGGCCTTTCCTCAGTCGGCCGCCAGACAGCGTCGCACCCCGTCCATCTTGATCCTCCCGGCAGAAGCTGAGGGGGTGGTGGGGAGGGGGGAGGATTAAGACGGAGCGCCACACACAGACACACTCACACTCACACGAGAGGAGGAGGAGGAGGAGTCCGTCGGGCTCCACAGTCAGGCCGAAGCGGACTCCGGAGCAGAACGACACAACGCGGCCGGAGGAGGCGCTGCGAGAACGCCGTTCCGGCCTTTTTTTCTCCTTCCCTTCTCGCGTCACGAGTGATTCCGGGCTTCCTCTTTCTGCCCATTATAACTCGAAGCCGGAGGTTACGTGACCTCACTCGGTCCTCGGATGGGGCGAACCTTTTTCCCGGTTGGCTGGTTTTGGCGTTGGTTCCTTGAGGAAGAATAGAGATGTCATTCGAACTCACCACCCACCCAGGCGATCTTTAAAAAAAAAAAAAAGCTTTTAAAAAAATAAATAAATACATTGGGCTGTGCTCTGTCTGGGGGACCTTCATCAATGGAAGCTTTCAAGAAGAGAACTGGACTGCCATCTGTCAGAAATGGTGTGTGTGGGGGGTCTCCTACTTGGGGTGGGGGTGGACTAGATGACCAACAAGGTCCCTTCCAACTCTTGTTATTCTTAGGTTTGAGAACGAACAATGGAGCTTTCAGTACAACTTTGTAGGGGACAGGTATTGAAAGGGTTGGTTAAAATACATATTTACTGACGTTGGTTTACTGCCTATCGGGGTTAGCCTTCTCACAGGTGTCTGAAGGATTCTCAGTTATCCAGGTCATGGATGGATCAAAAGAGACCTTCAGGGGTGTTTTCCCATCAGAACTTGGAATAGCGATAGTAATTCCTACCAAACATATTGGAGCAAGTTGTGGAAATGTGTATCTTTTACGCCCCAGGTTTTATAGAGCTTAGATGTCTATATTTTGAATATGGGACAGGTTTTTAATAGGATGTATGATCTTCATTTAGTGCTTTAATGCATAATCAGCAGAAAGTTACTTGATGTCACCACAGTCTTAGTACTGAAATGAAGTAAGCCTATTGCAACTTTTGAGTGATTGGTTTCTTGTGCTTCCACATAGTAACTAGCTTTTCTGCACAATTGGAGCTATCATAGCCCTTTTAATTCCAATTAAGAGACAGTCACTTACTAATATGTATATACAATATGCCTCCATTCCAAAGAAATTGTTGCAATTTCTAGACATTGGATTTTGCAATTATAACTTTTTTTGGTATGAAGAATTTATATTATGCTTTCGGCCCTCATTTTTTTGTTAAAACCCCCCCCCCTTTCTATGTTCCTAATGGTGGGACCTTCATGTTGAAATTCTGAACATGTATTATGTGAAAAATAGGTAAAATAAAATTAGTGAGACATTCTCTGCAAGTACTATGTTTAGGGCATAGTGGAACAGTCATATTCCACTATGGGATTTATCTCAGCTGTAAAGAACTAAGAACTAAAGCTGTAAAGAACTAAAAACATAGAGCTCTTATATAAAGCTCAATATTGTAAGTAGCTCTTATAATAAAACTATAATATATAGTTCTCTGATGTGTCATTAAGTATGAACTATTTACTCATTCTATATGTAATTCTCTGCAATTTTGCCATGAGTTAAAAGTTGAGAATCAATATCTCCATGTTTTGACAACCATAGTTATCCCATAATTAGTGGAGCTGAGTGACATTTTGGTAAATGCATTTCTTAGTCACAAAGAACTAATGACAATTATTTTAAAATTATAGTATATTTAAACATTATGGGTGGTTACTTGGGAGATCTTTTTGTTGGGCCCTAGAAAATTGGATGTATACAGAAGACATAAATATGATCTTCACACAAAGATAGCCCGTCACACGTCATTGACTGGAAGACACTAGAAAGACACTAGGGAAAGTTACTCTGGCTTCATGTGATGTAATACTGTATTAATGTAAATTTACAATAATTATATACTATCTTTTAATCATATTTTAATCATTGAATGGAAATTTGCAGTCAGATAATAAAAGTTCATATTATTTAGAGCAGGGGTGTCAAACTCGTGACCCGCGGGCCAGATGCGTCATGCGCTGGCCATTCCCACCCCTAGTTTAGTGAAGGGAAAAATTGTGATATGTCATGTGGCAACAACGTGACGCCACGAGTTTGACACCTCTGATTTAGAGAATTCTAATATGATCATTGTCATATTTCTAACACTCTTCAAGCTTTGTCAGCTAATGGTTAAAAAGGCAAAGTATTGCTTGTTACTTCATGGTACAAGCAAATATTACGCATACATTGTTTGTTGCATATTCTTCAGAATCAATTTTCTCTGTTTTACACAAACTTTTCAACTTATAATAAACTAAAATAAGTGGCTCTCTGGGCAAAGAGCTCCTCTAGGTGAGCTCAAATGCTCTTTTTAACCCACACATTATAGTCTGTAAATTCAATCTGTTTTTCATGTTTGATATTTTTTGCTCTGAAACTTAAGTTTTATTAGAGTCCTGTGCTTCTAATAAAGACAAATATTGGTTTAGTTACTCCATCTCCAATTAGTAAACCTTTCTTTCCAATTTTTATTATTACAGCTAAGGATGGTGATTTCTCTGACTTCTAATTACACAGTTTGCTTTAGGTAAACCTCTGAGCTATATGTCCGCAGATGGAGCTAATTTGTAAGACTTGTATATTAGTGTTACAATGCTTGAAGAAGATACTTTGAGAGTATTTTATATTGTCAATCAAGGGATATTGATTTGAACAATTTGTATTAAGGAACTATAAAACAGCTAGTTGAATCAAAAAGATTTTTTAGATTGTTGATTTTAAGGAGTAAGAATGCTCACTGAAGCATTTAAACATCTTGCCTGAATCCAGCACCAGTATTTTACATATTTATAGGGCAGAGTTTCCCAACCTTTCCAGCTTTGCAGACCAGCTTGGGGGTGGGGGGGAATGGTTCTGCATGAGTGGTGGGCAAGCATACACGCGCAGCTCCATTTGTGTAAGAAGTGGGCATGCATAACCTCTGCTCATGTAAATGGAGCACGTGCACTCACACTTGCCTGCTGCTCAAGCAAGTTGCAGACACACACGCCTGCCACTTCTGTGGTCCAGTTCTGAAGGGCTCAGGGCCCAGTAGTGGGCTGCAGGGATTGGGGACCCCTGTTATAGAGGACAAATCTGGAAAGTATTGATATTAAGGCCAGATTCACATACCACACAAAACTGGATTGTGGATTTGTGCGCAAACCCAATCAATTATAATTGATTCAATAGCTGAGTTTAAATTTAGAATCTAGATATTCATGGCTGTTATTTATTGATGAAATTACTTCTGGGCAGTGTTGTGCGAGGCAATGAATATGTCTTGATGTCTTGAATCATTTGTGATTTAAATATATTAATGTGATACATAAAGTAGATTTATGTTTGTTTTGTAATCTTCCTGACCCTCTAGTCTAAAAAAAAAATATCATTCAAATAAGATAGGCTTTTTCCAATTTATAAAAATAGTGTTTGGTTATAATAGATGAAAGTATAAAATTAGGGGTTTGAAAAGGCTTTTTTTGGTGCCTTCAAGTCAGTCTTGGCAACTGTTTCCAATTTTCTTGGCAAGGTTTTGGATGAGTGGCTTATTCCTAGGACAGCTAGGGAATGAGTGGCCTAAAGTCAATCAGCTGGCTTTGTGCCTAAGGCAGACATAGAACTCACAGTCTCCTGGTTTCTAGCTTAGTGCCTTAATCACTACATCTAGTTTTATTGCAAAACAATTTTACTTCGAATATGTACCACTTTAGAGTATCAAAATCCAAGTATGATTCTGAATGATTTTAATTATATGGAATGACATTGCTTTTTAGATACAAGTAGAGCAAAACCTATACAGTACCTGAAGTCAAGATAGCACTTAATAATAATATTCCATATAACTGTATTTTCCAACTTGTGCAGAATGCAGAAAATATAATAGCCCAATTGACATTTCAGTCTGTATTATGTGCTTATTTTTTTATGCTTGCTAACCCAATAGAATATTGAAAATAAATTGTATAACATGAGATTTTGTGCACTTATCTATTAAGAGGTTATCTCTCCAAATGTGATGGGAGAAGTCCACCCCCCTCCCAAAAATTGAATTTGAAAATGGATCTCTTCTGGTAGGGTCTGCTGGGGGTGGTGGGGGTAGAACCAGAAAAAATGGCTGGGTAGTGGCTTGGAATGCTGTTGACTCCTCCATTCTTAAGCCCCTCTCCCTGTTGAGTGAAACTGCTATTCAAGGGATGGAAAGAATTCTACAGCCATGCTCTGCATATTTTCCCTGCCTTGTTTTCTGTTTCAGATTATTCTCTAGTTACAGTTAATGGGACAGTCAAGATTAGATACTTAATTGGTTTGCTCGTGGATAAAGTTATAAAGGATTAGCTGGTTATCCGACTTTTCAGATGTCTTCTTTCAAAAATTTCCCAGCAAAGAACCCCCAAATATTTTAATTTTGTTTTATGAAAAATGTTTCTGATTTAGCTGCATATTTACATTATAACATTTGTCTTTCAGTTTGGGTAGTATGACCCTTGGGATATAAACATAAGATTCAACTTCTTGGCTTCCACTTTGTGTTGCTGAGTATAATCTTGGATCCTGGCAGTCACAAGTACAACTCCACGTCATCTGTAAAATATAGCTTATGTTTACTATTCATTGGGTTGTGCAATGTGCTGCAACAAGGAACATGCTAAAGGTTGCTTACCACCTTCTTTCAATGTTTTGCTTAGTCATGTTGCTGTGGGATTGTATTTTAGGATTTTTGTGTAGGGCAAGTATGAAAGTATACTATATATATATTTTTAAAAATACTTTGAATATTGAAAGAATGTTATGACTGGATAGTAAAGCCATTATATCAATTGCTATAACTTAGTCAGTTCTCTTTAAATGACATTGAAATAGGAATTTGTGGGCTTTCATTGTTCCACATTTAGCTTTATAAACAGTTAATAGGATTTAGTCAGCTTGCTTTGCCTTATGTAGGATCTACAAATGAACCAAATGAACTACATATGTATGTGGCTTCTTCAGTCCCGTAAGTCCATCAGACAGGAAGTGAATACTCTGCTGAAATATCTGGCTTGTGTGCATAGCTCAGAGCAGAGTAATGAGGAAGACTCAGTTTTTGATCCCAGCCAATCAGGAATAGGAATAGAATTCCATACATTTTTTAAAAATGTTGCTCACATGAAACATTTGTCCCATCTTCTTCAGGGATGACTAATATCTTTTCTGCTATCCAGTGACTTGGTCCTTGTACTTAAAATCATTGTGGCAACCTGCCTGGAGGTTGTGGGGGTCTGGATGGGATAGGTTTCAGCTGAACCCTGGTAAGATGGAGTGGCTATGGGGGGGGGGTGTTCTCTGTATCCAGAGCTTTATCATATTTGGTCTTAGATGGGGTTGCACTGGACAGACACAGTGCACAATGGAGTCCAGGATGAGAGTGCAGTCATCCTGCACCCAGCCTCTGCTTAAGGAGCAGGTGGCACTTGTGGCTAGGCAGACCTTTGCTCAACTCTTTGCTGTGCTTCACTTATGCTCCTTCCTAGATTGTGAGGCCTTGTCTTGGTCACTCATGCCTTGTTCATCTCCCATATGAACTGTTGTAATGTGCTGTACATGGGGCTGTCCTTGAACCAATAGCTGGTGTAGAATGTGGCCATCTGGGCAATTTTGGGCTTCTCAAGGATGGGGCATATAACACATTTGCTATGTGAGCTGCATTGAGTGCCGATTTGCTTCTGGGTCCAATTGAAGATGTTGATTATTACCATTAAAGCCTTGACATGGTGTCAAGTTATCTGAGGAACCATCCTACCCTCACCTTAATCCATCCCATCCAGGCAGGCAGGGAAGGGATGTTAAGAGACTTTGTCAGTTAAAGAATTTTGACTGGTGGGTCCAGGAAGGAAACCTTCTCTGCCGTTGCCTTCACCGTATGGAACATCTTTCCCCGAGAGGCAAGATGGGCCCCCACTCTCCTGGCCTTTAGGAAAAGCATGAAGACCTGACTGTCCCAACCCACGAGGGGCAATCCTAGGCATGGTTTAGCATCTTGAAGACACTCCTGCTGCCTTTTTATTTTTAGCTTTTTTTAATCTTTTTTTTTTTTAACTTGCCTTCTATTTTACTGAACTTGGTATGTATTGTGTTTTTATACTTTTATTTGTAAATTGCCCAGAATCCCATTTCATAATACTGGAGAAAAGTTATAAAAGTCATACACGATATGATATACAATATACATTACATATGCAGAATCATTTAACAAGAAAAGACACAGACTTAATTGAAGAATATTAGCTTTTATGTAAATTAGAAAAATGACATGAGTTTGGTCAAGTGATTAGATCTGTACAATTTACAATTTTATGTACAAAATGTATAATAAAATACAATCACTTCCTGAGTATTGATTTTACAGATGTTTTTATTTTCCACAAATTAATAAATGGGAATACCATACTCATCTGAACATTTGCTTTACTTCACTTAATATTGAATTAAAGGACAATAGTTGCCAGCATAATTTAAAAAAATACTATAATGGTTGCAGATTTCTATATAAAATAGGTTCCATTGTTAGGTAATTGTGATTGCTTATAAATGAAATCCTTGATGCTCTTTGAACTTGGTTGTTGCTTGCAAATATTTTGTTAACAGATTTTTATTCTTATAATTCAAACTGCAGTTCAGATCAGATAAAACTCACTTTTGAAAAAGTAATCCATTCCCATTGGAGTCTTTGATATTTAAATGCATGATTGTACATCAATGTTTCAAGACTATAAAATGATTACAATAAATAATGTAATGCCTCATATATGATGGTACTGCCTCAAATCATTTTCATACTCTAAAAAGATATGTAAGCCTCAATGATCTGCTTGGCAGGATACAATTAAAATCAAATAAAATGTATTGGTAGTAAAAAGCCCCATTGATATAATCATAACCAGATGTGCTTAACTTTGGATATAAAAATATTCAAAACTACAGAATTTATGAGTGAATTCGTATCATAAAATGTGTAATTGCTCCACAATTCATTGGTAAAGCTATCAATATTAAAAAGTGGATTTTCGTTATTCAACACTAATTTTATGTTTCTGTAGCTTTCAAGAATAGTCTTTTTACTTAATTAGGTCATGACTAAATTAGCATAACATTATTGTATAGAACTGTAAAGAATTTTGGGATTAAATTTACAATTAAAATGGGACAGAAAAATTAACAATTTAACAATTTTTAACAAACTAGTCAGTTTAAAAGAGCTAGCCATGTACTTTGTGTCATTAATTCTAGCATTAGAGGTAATTTTCCCTACTTATCATCTAAAATGTACAGGCAATGCACTTCATGGAGCCAAAAGTGAATATACACTAAGTAGTTCCTTTGGGTTTTTGTTTAAAATTTCATACTAGCAAATTACAACACACAAAAAAATCATTACAGTTAGTCCTTGACTTAAAGCTGTAAATCGTGGTGGCGCAGTGGTTAGAATGCAGTATTGCAGGCTGACTGCTCACCGCAAGGAGTTCAGTTCTGACTGGCTCAAGGTTGACTCTGCCTTCCATCTTTCCGAGGTCGGTAAAATGAGGACTCAGATTGTTGGGGGCAATATGCTAACTCTATAAACAACTTAGAGAGGCTGTAAAGCACTATGCAGCGGTATATAAGTCTAAGTGCTATTGCTATTGTTTAGTAACCATTCAAAGTTACAACAGTGCTGAAAGTGATTTATGACTGATCCTCCCACGTATGACCATCACAGCGTCCCCAGTGATCAAAAATTGGGTGCTTGACAATCAGCATGCATTTACAGTGGTTGCATTTTTGGCTCATATGATTTCCATTTATGACCTTCCCAGGGACTTCCAACAAGCAAAATCAACCGGGGGGGGGCAGGTTTGCTTAACAACTGTGATGATTCACTTAATGACCAAAGCAAAAATGTTGTAAAATTAGGTGCGATTCATTTAACATCATCATCACTTAGCGATGAAAATTCCAGTCCCAATTGTGATTTTTAATCGAGGAATACCTGTATAGCAATGCATAGGAGCTTCCCTAGGCTGGCGTTTGTGCCAAGATTCAAGGCTGAATAAATGTAGCTTTATTAATATAAGTGTATCAAGATGTTAACACATTTACTTAAGTCTTCAATATATTTTATTCAGGAGTGTTGTATGTTGCAAATAAAATTAAGAAAATTGCAACTTTTTAAAAAAGTATTGTAAATATACATTTTAACAACTGAATGGCCATCCTCTTATTGGGAATTGTATTTGCAAACAGATATGGTAACTGGTACTATAGCTTTAGCAGTAAAAGGCGTAGCAGGTACTGAGTCAGTCAGCTGAAAGATAGATGGGTGCATGAATGCACTTCTCTGAAACTGGAGCATTATACAAAATTAAATAATGCATAATAGAACTGAAAACAAAAATCTGATAATACCTGGGCAGGGGGGGAACCCACTTTTCAATATAACCAGGGTGCTTAAGATTTAGAAGTCCTTTTCATAGAAAGTTAGTCTTTAGTTGAATACTTGAGCCTTTCCCAGGATTCTTTGGATGCTTAGATGTTGACTTATCCTTGATGCTTTCTTGATTTCCTTTCACTGCTGACTCAAGTCTTGCTTTCATTGATGGGGAAGAAGCCATTGATTTTTTAAAGGCTGACGTATACTGTGGACCAATCTGCATCAGATAATGCAAAGCAAACTCATGAAGATATTTTGCTGAACTTGAAACTGATCCTAGGGCGTTTTCATCCAAAAGAAAAGATATGAGGATGGGAATAAAACAAGCCACTAGCTGACTTCCTGTGAAAATTGAAAAGAACAATTTATTCAGCAATGATAAATAGCACTAGTTCCATAATTACCCGTTTTTAAATTTAACTCTTAAAACTTTTGTCCCGGAAACTCAGTATTGTTTGATACAGTAGAATGTACTTTTCAATAAACAAATATGCTTGCTTGTTTAATTAATTAATTGTAAATAATTAGCATTGCTTTAACTTGCTATTTAGGATATTATGCTGTTCTGTCTTCTAGCTGTAAAACATGAACTTTGCAAGAAGCAAGCAAGAGATTTTGCAATGATGAAGACCCATAACTTATCCCTGCTTCGGGTCTGTATTCTTATTCTGACTATCTTACTGCCATTTCTTCATGATATTATGAACAGACCAAACACATGCACACATTTCCAAAGAGTATTTTTATGTCAAGAAAATGTTTTTTTTTCCAACTTAGAACAGAATAAAAACTTTGTCACTTTTTAATGTACACTAATCATCATACATTGAAATGAAATTTCATTGCATTCAGCTCTCAAAAGATAACCATTATGCATATACCCACTTACACACACATATATGAGACAGAGAAACATCACCGTCTAGTTCTGGCGTATACATATACATGGTGAAAAAAAACCCTGCGAGTTTACAAGATGGATGGCATTAGGAACAAAGCTGTTATAGAATCTAGTAGTCCTGGTATAGATAAATTCAAAAAAGTGATGGAAGCAGTTTAAAATCTAAACTGATGCATTAAAAATATTTGATTCTGGCTGTAGTCTGCAGCCACTTACTCTCTCATGTTTGATGCAAACTGTTTCAGTGACATAAAACCGATCTATTTAAAATCAATAAACATAGGCAAAATTAAGCTATGCTTCTCAGAATAATAATTCTGAGGAAGGGAAAAAAACCCCAGGCCCCCCCATATCACTCGGTCACAGTACTCCTCAGCAAAATCACACATAGGTTCTTGGCAAAGCAGTTTTAACATAAGATGGTTAAACCTCTGCAACCTGCAAGGTTCATTATTTTCTCCTAAAATGCCTTCAAATGCTGATCTTGTAGAGCAGTGATGGCTAACCTTTTTGCCGTTGCGTGCCAAAAGCAGGGGGAGTGTGGGGTGATTGCACACATGCGTGCCCACACCCATAATTCTATGCACCCTGCCCCCCTGCGCATGCATGCATGACCCCCCCCCGGTGCTCTCCCCATGTGATGGCCCGGTGGGCCCGTTTTTCACCCTCCCCAGGCTCCAGAGGCTTTCTAGGAGCCTGGGAATGGTGAAAACAGCCTTCCCCACCCCCCCAGAGGCAGGAAACATCCCATTTGCCGACTTCTGGTGGGCCCAGAAGGCCAGAAAATCAGCTGGCCAGCGCGCACATGTGTGCTGGAGCTCACCTAGGGCAACACTCACGTGCCCACAAATATGGCTCCATGTGCCACCTGTGGCACACATGCCATAGGTTCGCCATCACGGTTGTAGATGGTAACGGCATAGCAGAAAGGCTAGAATAATGTCACTAACTAGAAATCATCAGATAATGTTACAATGTTTTATAGGCAGGACAATTGAAAGGATATGCAAAGAACACTTACGATGCTCTTCCTCAGCGAGGGCTATAACAGCAGCCACTACCTTTATTCCTTCTTGAACAACTTGAAGTTCGGCAGAATTCTCCGGTTTAATTTTTTCTGTTTCTTGTAGTTTGGCCACTACTGAAGATATTAATGAATGAATGTAAGGATATGAAAGAGTTTGATTGGGACACTGGAAAATGGAAAGGAGCAGCTGGTAGCATTTAAGTTGTACCTAAAAAGAAAGAACTGTTTAAAAAGGTAGTCCATCCAAATGTAAAAAAACAAGTTAAACCTGCCATTGTGAACTGTTAAAAGAAGTAATGGTGGTATTGTCAGGTACCAATATAGGCTAACACCAGGATCTCTCTCCCCCTCCACCACTTTTTTTCCTAACTCAGTAAATTTAGGAAAGACTATTTACTTAAGGACACCATACATCCTCAATAAAAGTACCAATGCTGTGATTTGTATAAATGCTTTCACAACAAGAGGAAGAATAAATAGCCTTGGAGCCCAAGATAAGCATATATAAGGAAGTTTATATAAGGAAAGCTTCCTGCCTTGTAACCATCTGCATTTTCCCCAAAACCTGGGAGTCATTCCTGAACAATATGGGATGAAGCAATTGGAGTTGCTAGGTGGGGAGAAGTCTGGGAAAAATTTCCATTTGTAAACTTCCTAATGTTAGAAATCAAGTCATACTTTTCACTCCAAAAATTCAAAAAGTTGAAGTAAAAATGTCAACTTCTGTGAAGATCCCAATTTCTCTTGATCAGACATTTCAGATTTCCTAAATAATTTGTCAGGATTGATGCAATTTTAGCACATATTGACTATATAAAGTAGAATCAAATTCTAAATGGGATGATTCAGGTGGTTGTTTTCATTAACAAAGCTGTGGGCTTATAACAGGATGGAATCATAGAGGATCATTTACTCTATGGTCACCCATCTCACTTTCAATGGTGGGAGGCACATGTTTATTCAGTGAAAAGAGCTACAGAATAACAGAATTAGAAGGGACCTTGGAGGTCTTCAACCCCCTGCTCAGGAAGGAAACCCTATTCCACGGGTGTCAAATTAAAGGCCCGTGGCAAAATCTGGCCCACAGAGTGCTTAAATCTGGCCCACAGGGCTGGCCTGGAAATAGCAAAGGACCGGCTTGTAGTGCCTCTGACAGCCAAAATGGGGCATGGGGCCACACACGCCCCCCACGCCCTGTTTTGGCCAGCAGGGTGCTGCAGGAGACATCGGTCCTGTCTCCCCCCCCCTCAGGCGGCCCACACAGGAGAACTACAATGTTGATCTGGCCCACGAAGAAATCCAATTTAACACCCCTGCCCTATTCCATTAGGGCTAAACAAGCACATAGCAGAGCAACGGTAGCAAATCTCAAACGGAGTTTAAGTTGTACTTACAATGGGATCTTTAGATTCCATAGCTGATTTAAACTTCTCAATGCACTGTCTCTGAAGACATTCCATGGTGCTAACTTCTGGACTTGCAGACAAAATAAATACAGTGATCGCAGTCAGCAGACTGCTTTCATCCAATTCTTGACCAGCATCATCTACCAATAATAAGACATTTTAAAATATCTGAAACGGGACTAATTATAATGTCAAAATATTAAAGTCAAGTTCTGATATGGATTTGAACCAAACTGTAAAAGATATTATTTAAGCATTCAAGGTAATCCTTGACTTATGACCATAATTAAGCCCAACATTTCTGTTGCTACGCAAGACAATTGTTAAGTGAGTTACACCCCATTTTACGATCATGTTTGCCATAGTTGTTAAGCAAATCACTGCAGCTGTTAAGTGAATCATGCAGTTGTTAAACGAATCTGGTTTCCCCATTGACTTTGCTTGTCGGAAACCAGTTGGGAAGGTTATAAATGGTGATCACATGATCCTAGGACAATGCAATTGTCACAAATACGTACCAGTTGCCAAGTGTTCAAATTTTGATCAAGTGATCATGGGGATGCTGCAACTGTCATAAGTGTGAAAAATTGTCATAAGTCACTTTTTTCAGTGTCATTGTAACTTCTAATGGTCACTAAATGACTATGACTACCTGTATCTATTATGTCTAATACATAATTGTACAGGTAGTCTTTGCTTAACAATTGTTCTGTTTTAACAACTGTTTTAAGTTACCATAATGCTGAAAAAATAACTTCATGATCAGTTGTTTCATTTACGACTTTTGCAATGTCCCTGTGGTCATCGCTTCAAGCTGAGGACGCTTTACAACCGGTGGGAATTTCTGACCATTGCAGCATCTCACAGTCATGCGATCACCATTTGCATGCTTCATATCCAATTTCTGACAAACAGAGTCAGTGGATAAGCTGGCAGTAAAACCGCAAGTTGTGGTCACGCGATTTCTTGCTTCATTACCATGTTGCTGAGTGACAGAGTTGCTTATTCCAATAGGGGTTAAGCAAGGACTAAAAGTAAAGTACTACTGAAATATTTAATATCAGGCAATAAGATTTTTTTAAATAAACTGCTTATATTTTAATCTTGTATTAAAGCTGTAACTGCAAAAACATTTTAAAATGGTATAATTCCAGTAACACGCTATATACTAACCACATGGGGGCAGTGGCGTGTAAGTGGAGAATTAAAGATTTACTTCCTGTTGCTTTTGTCCAATAGATTGCAAATCTCCATGACCTATAGAATACAAAGTAATAGAGTTGGAAGGGACCTCTGAGGTCTTCTAGTCCAACCCCCTGCTCAAGCAGGAAATCCTATACCATTCCAGACAAGTGGCTCTTCAATCTCTTCTTTAAAATGATACAATATCCACAACTTCTGGAGGCAAGCATTCCACTGGTTGATTGTTTTCACTGTAAAGAAATTTCTCCTTAGTTCTTTCTACCTTCTTTCTCTGGTAAACTGAGCAGGTACTCTTTGATTCTCTGGTAGGATATGGCTAGCCAGGTGCCAGGCTTTACCTATTATTATGATCTACTCCCTGTACATAATTTCCTTTCTGTTCTAGCAAATCTCTTTCCTAAATAATTGCTTTCTACTCTCAGAAACACTCACACATTTCAGCCTCCAACATTTACCATTTCTACTGCTGTTGGAATTCCAACAATCTTAACAGCGTAGCATCTCTATCAAGACAACTTCAGTTGGCAAAATAATGGGCTTAAAATCCTTCAGATTGTTTCATGCATGCAATCTATCCAACAAAATCAGAATGCCATGTACAGTAATAAGAAAACCAACATTTGCATTACTGAGATACTCAGATTTAAATCACAAATATATTTTTTCTACGTTTTTCTGCTAATAAATAAATAAGTAAACAAATTCTAGATTCACACCTTAAAGCTTCTAAAGATTTTCGGTATGTGAAAGAGATTAAAGGTTGCTGGGTATCTTAACTTTGAGAAATGTTTATTTACTGTACTTTATTGGGGGCTATTATTTCTTGCAATGTTGAATGGTGAGAAGTCCACAAATTTAGGGAGGATCTCTCCAAATTTGTGGACTTCTCAATTCCAATTCTGTGCTTTTCTATACAGTTATGAACCTGCTACACTCAACATTGCAAGAGATAATAGATCCTAATAAAGTGAATACCTAGCCCAGTTAGGGTAGGCAATTTAGAACTAGTGATTATGCCAAGGTTAGAAAAAGAAAATGGAAAAGAAATATTTGTGGTACAGTTTGTGCAAGCTAAGATTCACAGAAAAATAATACTATAGGGGACTGCAAGAAGTGAACTCCATTAGGAAAGGAACAAAACAGAGGTTATGAGGATAGAAAGGAGCAAAGAGCAGGTTTACTGAAAAGAGGAAACTTGCACCCTCCAAGCAACTAGGGTTGTTTTTAAACAGTTTTTAATTATTTTGTGCCCCAGTAGCATATTACTAGTCTGAGTGTGAAATTATTTCTTATACTCTATATATGATACTTATATCATGTATCTGAGCAACTCTTTTTCTTCCCATTTATACTGTACCTTGATCCCAAAAATTAAGAATGGTGACCAGAGCACTACGGAGCAATTCATTCCAAGCCATTTGGCTCTTCTCTGCCCGAGCCATGGGTGATGACAGGACTCCTTTAAGAGCTTGCAGTGATGCAGCAACAGTCATAGGTAAGTGGCCACTGGGTAACTTCACAGCAGTTTCCCTGAGGACTCCAATAATCAGATATAAGATCGTAGGAAGAACAGCAATGCTTCCTGAAGGATATAGCAAATGCATGGTATAAATATGATGGTTGAAAATCTTGCAGCATGTATCGAACAAAACATGAATTCCATCATGCATTTATTAGTACTCCTTTATTTCGAGCTCAGTGTTATATTTAATAAGAATTGTCACTTCTAAATTAGGCTTCAATTTAATGCTAACACAAATATTTGAGATGAGATTAATTTAGGAAAAATAATCACTCTGCAACTAACATATAACATAGGGAAACCTTACTGATATTTATTCAACCACTGATCAGTATGAAATATTTGGAATTAATATTGATTAACAAAATTGACACAGATGTCACGTGCTGGCAAAGAATATCTAATAGTTCTCTTCTAATTTGATGAAAAAAGACTCTTCTTTTTTAAAAATAATTTTCAAAGCACCATTTTTTCTGTGTATGCCTTAGGTTACTGCTGGACTCCAATCTCCAACAACTTCACTCAGAATGGCCCAAGGCCCCAAGCTAAAGGATGGTGGAAAATACATTTCCATTTCTGGAGAGCACAGCTTCCCATTGTTGGCTTAAACCAGGGTTGTCAAACTCGCGATAACACGTCGTCATGTGATGTATCACAACTTTCCCCCCCTTTGCTAAACTGGGGGAGGGCGTGGCCAGCGCATGACACATCTGGCCCGTGGGCCGCGAGTTTGACAACCCTGGCTTAAATTTATTCAGAGGTGCTCCTTCACTGCACAAATACCTTCAAATATGTAAATTAAAATATAGTACTGAAAGAAGCATGTAGTAATCAGCTCCATCCATCTGCATCAGCCCTGAATAATTAGGAACTCGTAAAAATAATGACAACAGATCAATAGATAGCTCCTACAATTAATCTGTATAAAAATGGTAAATCCACATCATCATAAACTGTGATTTCACTTAGTGTACCTGATATAATAATATTTTTGTTACTCCTACAACATCTGATATGAAGGAGACCAAAGGGAACGTCACACTTTAAGGATTCTGCTTTGTCTCTTTTGTGTGTGTTGCTTGTTTAAAACTTGAGAGTATAGTATATTATTTTATTTGTTTTGTAAAATTCACTAATGTTCACTATTATGGAATGCTTATGGCAGCTAGAGCTGGAATCTGCAGCTAGATACGGTAGTATGCTGAGCTGAGGGGTCCTTGGTGCTCTCTGAGTTTGGTTATTTCCTTGCAGATGTTTCATTACCCAAACTAGGTAGCATCATCAGTGCTAATATGTTACCTAGTTTGGGTAATTAAATGTCTGCAAGAAATCAACCAAGCTCAGAGAACACCAAAGACTTCCCATTTCAACCCTGAGCTACAAATGTTCTCCTTTATTAGTATATAGAACTATTATATTATGTTTCATTCAAACTGTTATATTCTAATAAGCACACAAAAAGAGAATTGTAAATACCATTTTAATTAATAATTCTGATATGTTAAGAGTTGACTTCCATAAGAATGCTTTTGTATGAGATGACTAAGTGAGAATTGCGAAAGATGTTTTATTTATGAAAACCTTTTATTGATTTTTTTTAAAGCACAGACCAATTGCTTGAAGTTATGTGAATTTACTGTCTTGCACTATTTAAGTAAATTACTTTCAATTCACAAATGAGGAAAATAAATTAAGGCAAAAGAAATAAAAATAAATAAAAATTCTGCAATGTATAGCGGAATTTCATCCTACCTTCTGGTGAACAGACTGCAGGAACACCAGAGAGGATTCCCAGAGCTGCTGCTACCAGTCTGTTTCCGTCTGGTGATAACAACTGAGGTTTTCCAGCTGTAATTCCAGGGCTACCTGTTATCTTCAGGTTTAGCTGAGGTAGCTGCCTTACAAGAATACACACACACATTTCTAGTGTTGCAAAGACTAAAGACTTTCCAGGTATAAGACCTCCAGTATCTTTGCCTTCTCCAAACTCTGGTAATGTCTCCTTTTCTTCAGCCCCGTCATCAACTAGTGAAATAAAGGGTAAATGTTATGTTTTATTGACAAAAAAATCCTCTTTGAAGCTTCCTAAATAGCTTCGGTTTGAAGTGTTCTTATTTTTTTTGGATAGAATACATCCCCTATAACCACTGATGCGGCATGGACAAGCCATTGATCTACTATATCTATGCTATCAGAAGAACTTGGAATACTGCATCTAGTTTTGATCACCATCATACAAAAAAGATGTTGAGATTCTAGAAAGAGTGTAGAGATGATTAGGAGACTGGAGAGTAAAACAGGATTGCAAGACCCTGTTGCAGGATCTGGGAATGTCTAGACCCGTGATGGCGAGCCTATGGCACATGTGCCACAGCTGGCATGCGTAGCCATATCAGTGGGCATGCCAGCTGAGCTCTGGCGCACATGCGTGCACCGGCCATCTGATTTTCGGGCCTTCTGGGCCCACCAGAAGTAGGGAAACAGGCTGTTTCCTGCCTCCGGAGGGGCTGGAGGGTGGGGAAGGCCCGTTTTTCTTTCTTACCTGGCTCCAGATCCTTTCTATTTATCTGGGAAGGGCGAAAACAATCTTTCCCATTCCCTCGGAGGCCCTCCAAAGGCCTGAAACGGCCCATTTCCCAACTCGCGGTGGGACAGGAAGTGATGTTTTTTGCTGTCCCCAGCCTCTCTAGGAGTCTCTGGAGGCTGGGGACAGCAAAAAATGTCACTTTCTGTCCCACCAGGAGTTGGGAAATGGGCCGTTTCAGGCCTTCGGAGGGCCTCCGAGGGAGTGGGAAAGGCTGTTTTCGCCCTTCCCAGATAAATAGAAAGGATCTGGAACCAGGTAAGAAAGAAAAACTGGCCTACCAGGCCATCACATGCCAGGAGCAGAGGAGGGGGGGAAGAGGGGGAGTTGCGCGTGCATGCGCAGGGCAGGGCACATAGAATTCTAGGTGTGGGCACATGCGTGCGCGACCCTCCCCCGCCCCCCTCCCTCCTGGCACGCGATGGCAAAAAGGTTAGCCATCACTGGTCTAGACCAATGAAAAGAAGGACTAGGAGTAACATGATAGCAGTTTCCAATATTTGAGGGACTGTCATAGAGAGGATGGGATCAACCAATTGAAAGCACCTGAGGGCAAGACACGAAGTAATGGATGGAAAAGCTTAGCAAAGAGAGATCCAACCTAGAACTAAGAAGAAATTTCCTGTCAGTGAGGACAATTAATCAGTGGAACTGCTTGCTGCCAGAAGTTGTGAGTGCACCATTACCAGAGGATTTTAATAAGAGCTTGGAAAGCCAGATAAATGGCTGCTGTGGGGGAGGGGAGGGTGTACAAGGGGCCAATACGGCATAAGTGCTCTGAGTCTTGTGGTGACTGCTGCCAGGCACAGACTTAACTGGCCAACTTGTGGCCTTCCCTATCAGCTTTGTTTATGGGAAATTAGCAGAGGTCAGAAATGGTGATCATGTTACTATGGGATGTTGCAATCATAAGTGCACCAAGCACCCAGATCATGAGCACATGACTGCTGGGGTGCTGGCACAACCAGAACTTTAAAGACCAGTCATAAGTACCACTTGTCCAGTGCCAACGTAAATTTGAACAGTTGCTGAATGAGTAGTCGTTAACTGAGGATTACCTGCAGACCTGAAATCTGCTGCAGAAAAATATTTGATAGCATGGATGACAGATTTTTCTATCTCGTTTACAAGACAGTGCAAAATTTGTCATTATTTAAAATACCCCTTTTATGTACATAGTGTTTTACAAAGAAGTGAATTCTCATCTATCCTGAATGCTAGAAATTAATTTTGTAAAGATGTTGAGAATTCTTTGTTGAGCAAATTAAAGTTCCTTGAAAAATTACAATGTTCACAGTTACTCATAAGAGAAGCCACATCATTTTATTTGTTTGGGACTGGAGAATAAAATAGAATACCTTACTATACGTAAAAGGTAAGACAATTATGAAAGTAAAAAATGGAATTTGTTGAACTATTCTTTGCTAAAATTATCCCTCCACATCCTACCCTCAATTTTAATCTGAGATGATATACAGAAATTATTCAAAATCAAGAATTCAAAATATACTACTGTGAGTAAATGAAGCAACTGCTGTAAGAAGTTTGATCAAGTCTATTATATGACTACCTTCTGCACTTCTCCGTTTTTCCTTGACATGCTCCTGTGCTGCGAAAAGAACCTGCTGGACGACTTCTAGAGCAGCTAGTTGAATGTCTGGGGACTCTCTGGTCAGTAGAAGTCGATGTAAAACATTCAACAACTCCACACTCAGTTCCTATATATGGGAAATATAGCAGACTGTTCACTTAAGTTTTAATATCATATATTTAATACAATTAAGGTAGATTAGAATGAGTGGAAGAGAATTGCTCCAGAATACTTGTTTCAATTCAAACCTGAAAAGTTCACGTTTTCAGCGTCAAACCCTATAAAATATCATAACTAGGATACATGTTGTGTTAAGAGATTTTTCATGCCTTTCCATAGGCACAGCTTTTAAAAATAATTTTCATCTTTGTAGTGGATTCAGTGGGAATACAAGGAAGAACTGTCTGAAGGAAAAACAAAGGCAAAGTTTTTAGCCTGTGCTTTTTCTTTCTTTAATTTTTAAGAGGAAGGTTGCAGGATTCTGTGCCATTATTGATTTTATTGTTTATTGCAGATTTCAGCTTCATGATATTGGAGAGAGCCAAAAACCATTAGAATAAAAGGGACTCAGTACTGTAGGTTGTCCACACTTGGGCTATTGGCTTTCCTGTTCCTGAATAGGAGATATTTTATTTCTCTTCCCATAGTCCAAAAGTAACTTATACTTCTTTTCTCACAATGTCCCAGAGAATTATTTTAAGACAGAACAATAACACTTTAATATGTATCTGTTGAAGTTATAACAGTAGTAAAATTTTAAAAAAAAATTGCAAGCCATGCAACTATATATTTCATAACAAAATGAAATGCATAGTGTAGTGTTAGTCACTGAAGCAGTAGCCGTGAGCTTAAATGGACTCCAGAGGATGGTAGAGGACAGGAAGGCCTGGAGGAACATTGTTCATGGGGTCGTGATGGGTTGGACACGACTTTGTAACTAACAACAACAATGAATAGTGTAGTGTTCTTTGAATGACTAATGAATAAAAACTGCTGTTCTTGATACAGATGTCATGGATCCATGTATAAGTGCCTTCTTATAGTAAATGTCCCATGTGAGTTTATTAATTATAATAATGATTACATTAGTAATTAATTAATTATATTCTGCTCACATTTAAAATTATCGATTCCCCTACTGATCACAGAGGGGAAAAAATACAGTTGAAAGCAACTCTGTAAACTGGATACAGTAATTCCTACATAAATTACTTTGTCACAGAGACTATTCAAACAACTGTCACATTATGCCCATATCACAAGGTAAGAGAGACATAAGGGAAGGCATAGTTTCTACAGACATTTGGCAAAAGCATTCATAATATCCAGCTGAACTAACTCAGAAGTTTTGAATGTTACCTGATCACTTCCAATCTTTGATCTTGGCCAGGGAACTTCAAGCAGGACTTGTAGGGCATCTAGACAAGCAGTAATGTTCTCCATCGCTTCATCTGACCGGGGAGAACAGAGAAATTCCACACTAATTCCTAAAAAAAAATGGCGTCAGGGAATATTAGATGAATTAAATATGAAGTTTAGAAATATAAAATTTATATTTTACTTTTAATTGAGAAAGCAAACGGTGATACCACTAATTAAAACAATTTACAATGAAGTCACTGTCAATGACATTCTCTAAAAATGCCCACAGTGCAGTCAGAACAATCAGAATAATGAATAGAAAAGGTGTAGCATGAAGTTGAATTAATGGCGTGGCACATTAGTTGGCAGGAAATTCAAGATTTTGAGTTCCTGTATCTAAATTGGCTTTTCTTGTGCGGCCTACCGAAACTGCTTAGCCAATGTGGCTTTCTTAATACTTTAGAGGATAGAATAAGAAAAAAAAGGTACTTTGTAAGATATCCAGGTTTTAAACACGGTAAGACTTGTGATATAAGGAAAAGTCATTCTATTTACGGTAATTGTAAATAGAATTGTAATCTATTTAAAGAAATTGTTGTAAAGAGCCCAGCTTATACACCTGATTTGTCAGATGAAATGCACATTTGCAAAAAGCTGGCTATTTATCTATTTCATTTAAAAGCTGCCCAACTCAGAAACATTAATGCTCCTAATTCACAAATCAGAGAATTACTAATTCCGCCCCTCTATCTTGCCAGGATTTAGCCTCATTTTATTGCACTTCATTCAGCACTTCATTTAGTCATTAACTATGTATACAAACTTTCATAAACAAAAATAAGACACAATAGCAGAAATGCAATTACAAACATGTGTTCTATGTGCTCATAAGTCATGTGTCTGACTCAGCAGAATGGACCTTCTGAATTAATTCCATGCATTGTGGTCTGTAGTCATTCTTGATTTAAGTGTAACAGTTCATAGCAAATTTCAGTGAACCTGGCAAAAACAGTCTTTGAAAAATACAGTAAAGAAAAGTTTACATACTTACTAACCCAGAACAAGATGAAATCTATCAGTATTCACATCTTCAGGTGATTTTACCGCAGCCCTAGAGGTTGAATCTTGACACATACTAGTTGGAGTAACAGGTCGTGAAAGATTAGTTAGACCTTCATCTGAATCACCAACCAGAAAACCAGTGCTAGTAAGCCATAATGCAGTAGCATGAAGAATCTGAGCCCAGGCATTTTGATAATGAGGTCTTGAATTTTCAATTGTTTCTGCAGTATAGAAAGCACCACCTACAAATAAAACGATACATATTCAATTTGCTTCAAATCCCTCCACATATTTTTATTGTTTGTAACAAAGTGATGAGAAGAGTCAGAGACATGATTCCTATCATTCGAAAAACAAAGAAAACTTATTAAATAAGCTTTCGGTAAACATCCTTGCTTTCATTCCGCAAGCTTGCTGTTAGCTTCTGTTGATAACATCTTTTATTACTCTAAAAGTTTGTATTTTATTTTTGTTCTGTTTGGTAGCAACAGTGCTTCATGTTAGGAAATGAAGCTCGATTTCTGCAGAATCTATACCTACCAAATGGATTCAATAAAAATATTTGCTTTATCTGACTTCTTACCTTCAGAGGGAAGTTGAGAAGCAAATTCTGAAGGCAAAGTTAAGAGAGCAAAATCCTGAAGTGCAGCAAGCCAGAGTTTGCTCAGATTCCCTAGATCCACTTGGACTAAATCCAGAAGTTCATCCACTGAAGAGGATGGATCCCGGAAACTTTCCTCTGAAATGTTTTTAACCAAAGGTGGACTATTGATGTCATTTTGTTTCTTCTGTCTTTGTAAGGCAACTATATAAACCTGTTTGAAATAAGGAGAGCAAATGGAACTTTAAAGTTCTTACCAAATAGAAAATTTGGATAGAAAAAACTGAAACCAGTTATGGTGCCCGAAAAGATTACCAGCAACAGTAGAGAAAGGTTACTGTTTTCAAGCTGTTTATTGGTTTTCATGAAGTCATGATTTGTTTGTAATATTCTGATAGTACAGCCAGCTGCAAAAATCTATTATCATACATTTCTAATATTAATAAAAATAAAAGAATTAATTCATGCTCACAGGAACTGAATTATTGTTTTGAACTTGCTAGAGAGAGCAAGAAGCCGGTTTTGTGTAATGGCAGCTGGCTCGAAATAAGAGAGACTGTGAGTTCTAGTCCTGATTTCATTCAGCAAAGAGCCAGCTGAATGACTTTGGGCCAGTCACTCTCTTTAAGCTCTAGAAAGCAGGCAATGGTGAGCCACATCTGAAAACTTGCCAAGAAAATTGCAGGAACTAATGTCCAGGCAGTCGTCAGGAGTCAACACTGACTTGAAGGCACACATACAAAGCAAAATATAACAAATCCAGCCATTTCTCTTATTTTTTTTCTGAGACAGATTGAATTTGCCTGTCATTAAAGAATGAAAACTGATACGAGTAATGCCGGAATAAACAAGTTGGAAAAGATCCAGGATATTGTTTTCTCTGTTAGTAGGAATAGGATTTCTGTAAGCAATAACAATGCTTCTTCTTTTGTTGTACACAGTACACTATTGGACAAAAGGCAAGGGAATTGTGTTTCCAATAAAAGGCTTTAATTTATATTGCATACGTTTAATGTCAAAACAACATTTCATTGCACACAATAGATAATTTATATACATCTGACCCTATTAAAAATAGCATGCATTTATTATCTCAACTTGAGAACAAATAGTAGATAGCATACTTCACTTGAAAAAAGCTCTTTAATTCCTAAAGTTATTATGTTAAGATTAATTTCTAGCTAAGAAAGTTATTGTAAAAGGCCTAGTTTGAAAATAAATCAACCTCTAATTTCAGTTTTTAAACTCACAGTTCTTTTCCATAACTATTAATTCCAAAGCACTGATGAAATCATCTTTGTTAAAAAATACCTCTGCCCAGGCTTTTAGTACAGCGAGTATTTCCATAGTAGATGTCCCTTCATTGTATAGTTGATTTTGTGCTTCTTTTCCAGCCTGTACTTTTGTCAAGGATGTCACAAGCAAATGATGAACTCTTTGAAGGTCATTAAGATCATTTACTACACCACTTGCTATCCAAGCACTGCAAACCTACAACATCAAATGATGTGGTTACTTTTTCTCTAGTGCAATAAACTCCTTTATATTAGTTACTAAAATATGGGTGGTGCTATCCTCTTGTCTTATGTCCTATTTGTTGGGGTCTAGTTGGTTACCATGCCTATAAAATGCTGGATTAGATGGGTTATTTGCTCTGATCCGACTTGCTTCTTGTTATTCCTAGTGCAATGCTACAGAGCATGCATGTAAAATTATCCTATGTTTAGACATTTCAATTTATTTATTTACTATAAAGTTTTCCAATATATAATCCCTTCATGACGGAGATGGGCAGTTCTTAAATATGATAAATAAATAATTAAAAATAAAAATATAATTATCATTCCTTTAAGAGAATTAAACTAATAATTTCTACAAATGAACTGACGGAAGGAGTTATTTTAGAAATAATTCTAAAAATGAATAGCAGTAAGTACAATGAAAAACATATGAATATGTAGCCTAAACAATCCTCTGTCTCTGATGTGATGATCCTAGTTCTTATGGACAAATAATATCGCCATTGTTATTTTTTATCTGTGATTGGCCAAGAGTTTGACACTTACATTTTAAGGACAGGAGCAGGGAGGAGGAGGAGGGTCAGTAGAAGCTGTGAGGAGAAAAAAAAGCAACTTGCCTGACATGCTTTTGCTGTTACATCAGGTGGTGTTTCTGGGGTAAAGGCTGGTCTAAGAGCAGCACCAACCTAAAAAAAAGATTTGATAAAATGATATACAGTCTAACATCTGAATAACTGTTGTTTAAGGAAGCTAATCTTAAAGTAGTTATTTGAGACTGTTGAATAATAACAATGATTAAATATCCATCCATTTGTTGTGTTATAGTATTATCAGCACATATCCAAAGAAAACACATTTAGATTTATTAAAGTCATGCATTTTATGGCACATAATCAAACAGCCAATTCTAAAACACTAGAAATGTTATTTTCTGTGACCTTAAATACTAAAAAGCAATAATATGCAACTTGGTCTTTCTTTTTTTTGGCAAACTCTTCTGAAGATTTACTTACAATGGCTTGGTATTGCTCTAGTATTACATGACCTGGGAATTCTGGCTCTACTACAGCAGCAAATTTTCGAATAAGAATTAACAACATCTGAAGTCCGGAAAGACGAAGTTGGTTGCTGTGATCAGTAGCAGCCATAAAAGCCATACGAATTAAGTCAGCTAAATATAATACCAAGAAATCATCTGTATGTGATAAAAAGGAAATGCAGTTTAGATAACATGAACTTAAACTCTGGTACTTTAAAATATTTATGCCCATTACCTATTCCTTTCTTATAATAAGAAAAGAAGAGTAGGACTAAATGGAGAATTTTCAAAATGAAGAGATATTCAAGGTGAAGTTTCTTGAGATTAATATAGGATCAATTTTTTTTAATTTATAAACTGGAGATACGGATAAAGGATATTGATCATACTAATATGTTCAGGGTATTACAATGCAATTAAAATAGGATTCCTAAGTGCTACAAAGTATGCCTATATAACTGGGTGAATTTGCTTCAAAAAAAGTGTATGCAATTCCTGTAAATATACCGTTTCCCCCAAAATAAGAAATCCTCTGATAATAAGCCCAATCGGGCTTTTGAGCACATGGCAATAAGGCCAAGCATTTATTTCAGGGTTTAAAAAAATATAAGACAGGGTCTTATTTTCAGGGAAACACGGTAGGCATGGTGATGTACATTGACATAAAAATTCCAACTTTATATATTAATGGGCCCTGAGCTAAAATGGGATTGAGCTAAAAGAGATTTTGGAGACACGATTCAATGGTCAACGCAGTAAGAAGCAGTGTTGGTCAGGCTAGAAGAGACATGCTTTGAATCATTTTCAAAGGAAATAAAAATGCAACACTCCAACAAAAATTTATAATGCAATTCTCCTTGGTATACTGCACATTGTTCTGATAAAAACAAAGAGCTAGTGTGGAGCTGGGGGAAAAATGCAAAAACAGGCCAACCAAAATAATTAGGAGTCTTAATCAGGTTCCCTAGAAGGAAAGTCTGGAATTTTTAAGCTCAGAGCAAAGGGAGAAAGGGGAGACATGATAAAAATATATAGAATTATATTTAAAAACTAAAAGGAAATTGATAATATTTAAGTGGGAAGATCAGGGACTAGCATTCCTAAGAATGGTATTTTTAAATAGCACCACTTAGAAAGCAAGTGGATGATTTTCCATTTTTGTATTTTCTGAAAGTATATAGTTGTATATTGGTATAAAAGGCTTACCAGCAATGTAAAGTATTTTCTTACCATTTATGCTGAAAGTTAGAATTGGTTGTGCCAGTAAATCAAAAATTACAACTGTAGATTGTCAAACTTTTGTGTAGAGAATATACATCTGTGACTTGTATGTTAAGATTACATTCAGCGTAGTATAGATGAACAGTTTATTGTGGAATAAAATTCTGGGGAATATGGTTCACATTTGTCTAATGCTCAGAGCTGTCATATATATCCAAAGATAGAGACACATACAAATAATAAACAGTGTGTCATGAAATGTAAATATTATAATCTTTAATAAAATAAGTGGGCAATCCATCCTTTATCTTTAGAAGTGGTACAACAGTTAACATTTAAAAGAATTGTTTCACTGAGTCAAATAGTAGTAATTTATGTCTAAAAGCGCACAGACTTCTTGTCAATTGTGATAAAAATGATAATGAAAGTGGTTATTCATCAAAATTAAATTTATCTGTGCTTTGAATTCCATGACATTTTCCAGTTGATATTTAAGTCAAATCAACACATACCTCTTGAGTCCCTTTGTTTCATTTCCTGTGCTAGAGCTATGTCAAAATGAGCACTGCCCGCATTCTCACACTGGGTGATAATTTTACAAACACATTCTGCAGCAAACACTCTAGTAGACCATCGGGGATGTGGGAATGGGTGTGATTTATCCTTCTTTGCCAAAGTGAATACCAATTCATCATCTATTTGAGTACCCTCTTCTTCTTGGCTTGTATCCACTGAAGCTACAGTTGTAAAATCTGCATTAAGACACAAAGTGGAAAGCAAACTGTTCGCGGAGCTTGCTAACATGGTTAAAATAGCAAGGTAATGATGAAGTCATAACCATGAAAAGGTCAGAGTGAATAACCAACCACATGTGGAAGGAAGCAGGAAATGGAGAGGCAAATGAATGGGAAAGGAAAAGATATTTAAGCTGCTATGCTTCCCTACAATGTAACTGTTTCTTCTGATGCTAAAAAGTACTAGGAAGCCTTAAGATTAAAAAAAATAATAATATTTAGATATCAATACCAAAAAGAACCATTCCACTGTCTTCGTGATAAGACCAGGAATGTGTAAAGGGATGGGGTGGGGGGGGGGTTCATAATGATCTTGGCATCCATACAGGCTGCAAAAGGCAGACATTATTTCAAGGGTCTAGTGGCCAAAAATTTAGGGCTTCTTTCTTCCTTTCCATAATCCTCCACATTAGGTGATTTTATGAATCATATTGTTTATTATATCCAATATAAGTTGAGAGACGTCTGAAAGCCTCCACCAAGGAGGATATTGGAATAGGTGACTACTGAGATCTCTACTAACTCTATCTTTCT